TCCTTATCTTCCCTCCATCCCGTCTCTCTCCTACCTCCCCTCCTCACCGTCTCTCCCTACCCCCCTATCTCCTACCTCCCCTCTCCTCTCCTCCCCCCACCTCCCTCCTCACCTTTCCTCCCTTCTACCCTCTCCCCTTCCCCTCCCCTCCCCCCACCCCTCCTTCCTCACCCCACCCCACCCTTCTGCAACAATAGTCAAGGTTTGCCTCACGATCGCCCGTTTCCGCCATTGCACAACGAGGAATGCAATTGCAAGGAATCTGGACGTCTTTGGGTAAGTTCCTTGCAGCCTCCCTAACTTACGATATGTCACGTTCTTTCCGTGTTATCTGTTCTTCGCAATGCGTTATTTGCGTCGTTCTTCGTTGCAATGCGTGTCAATGAGACTTTCATCTCGTGCAATGCTGAGGAGAAATGATAAGAGAGAGAAATAATCTAATGATATGGCATGATATAAAATCTCAATAGAGCTTCCTCTATCTTTTCCTTTCATTTCCTGGTGTGCTTTCTTGCATGCAATTGATACAGAAAGCGTGAAATTACGGGAGAGAGACGTGTATATCAGGAAGCGAACTCTATATAGAAAGATTATATATATCCAAACATGCATACATATACATATATAACACACACACACACACAAACAAACACACACACACACACACACACACACACACACACACACACACACACACACACACACACACACACGCACACACACACACACATATATATATATATACCACACATACATTCAATGATGATAATAATGATAATAATAAAAAAAAATAATAAGCAGTAGTAGGAAAACGGGAAGAACGGGAGTGGAGAAAAGAAACAAAGAGAAAAATCGGAAGGAGTGAAATCCAAAAGAACTAGAATAGACAGCAACAGAAGGAGAATGAGGAAGAAGATGAAAGGGGAAATAGTGCAGGAAATAATTGGCGGTTCGAGACATTTCCTGAGCGCGGTGGAGGAGAGGAGAGGGGAGGGGGTGGGGGAGGGGGAAGAAGAAAGGAAGGAGGAGGAAGAAAAAAAGGAGGAAGAAGAGGGGGATTAGGATTAAGATTTGGAGGAGGAGGAGGAGGAGGAGGAGGAGGAGGAGGAGGAGGAGGAGGAGGAGGAGGAGGAGCATGAAAGGAAAAAAGAGGAGGATTTTCTTATTTCTTTTTCTTTTCTTTTTCCTTTTTGTTTCTTATCTCCTCCCTTCTCCTTCTCTCCCTACCTATCTTCTCTTCTCTCTTCTTCCCCATCCGTCCTCTCAGTTTACCCTCTTATCGCTGATTCTACGCACACCTCCTTCTGTTTAAAAAGACGTACCTTACCCGTGTTGCTAATGCTTACAAGTCATCGTGTTCGTGTTCCTTATGGATTACTGTTTTACTGTTTCTTTCTGTGTCTATCATGACGTTGTTGATGGCGTATTAATAACATTTTCTCTGGTATGTGCTTTGTTTTGTTTTGTTTTGTTCCTTTTTCTTGTTTGGTTGGTTTGTTCTTTTGTTTCTATGTGATTGTTTCTTACGCACTCTTTCTCTCTTTTCTTTTTTTCTTCCTCTTTCTCCCTCTCCCTCTCCCTCCTTCCCCTTCCCTCTCCCTTTTGTACGTTGCTTATACACTTATGCCTAATTACTCATTTATCCACATATCTATCTAGAACATCAGAAACACCAACCATAGACCTGAAAACACGACAAGTGAAAATACATTCTCTACCCCACCCCCCCTCCCAAGAATTATATTCATCCTATATTGCAAATCATAATGTTCATAATGCACAATCTCAAAGTCATTTCTTCCTTTCATTTCTATTTCCAAGAGCTCCTAATGTCGACACGGTGATTCTGACAGGCCTACACCATTACATATATTTCATAAAAGAAAAGGAAAATCAGACAGATTCCTACATATTCTCCAGCCTACTTAATCTTCTAATATCTATTCCATCCTACATAATTTCGAAACAGCTTACATATGAGCGCGATCTTCACTATTTCACCAATTCCATATATGCAAAAACAACTATAAAATGAATAGTCTATGGTCTTTTATAGATATTTTATCTATCCATTCATCTATCTAGTTTCATATAGGCATCTATCTATCTATATTAATATATTTATGTATTTTTATCTATCTGTAATTATATATCAATCTATCTTTATCTACCCATCAATTTATCTATCTTTATCTACCCATCTATCTATCTATCTATCTTTATCGACCCATCAATCTATCTATCTTTATCTACCCACCAATCTATCTATCTTTATCTACCCATCAATCTATCTATCTATCACTCAGTCCATCTCCCTACCTCTCCATCTATCGATCTTCCTACCTACCCCATCTTTTAAAAAAAAAAATAAAACACGCCATCTACGGGTCTTTCATATAGACTCTGCTCTACATCTGACATCTCCCTCCCCCCCTCCCCCCCACACACACCTTATCTCACATACCACCACAAGGACCTGATTATCATATACACGTCTGTG